TTGTTGGAAGCACGGTGTAAGGTCGGGATCATTCGTATACCATGTGACACTCAAATCCTATAGCAACGAAGTGTGCGAAGAAGCCATGTTATCAATGAGTTCATATCAATGAAAATCTCATTAGATTCGATGTGTATTCGATTGTAAATTACACCTTAAAAATTGAAATGTGTTTTTCCATACCCAGAACTTAGAAGTGCCACAAAATTCGTCCAATTTTTCGAAGGACATCTCAAAATAATCACAGTCGAAGAAATGAGTCGTTAATAACTGAATGACTGCGCTAATGCGCTATGAATTAGGCGGTATGTCGACGTCACAGTGACTCTCCAACTATTTTGAACAGTCTATTCAATATTTCTACGTTACTCGTAACTAAAAATAAACACGAACAAAAAATTGATTTTTCCGATATTTTTCATTCAAGATGAAAATGTTTTTTCAAACATCAACAAAGACGATATAATTGTTCCCTGAACTAAGCAGCGCAAGATGGTATCATTGTTACTAAATATTGAATGTCATATTGAGCAAGCCAAATGTGAACTATTTTTTCTTTTGAAATTATGACCAGAAGAAAAAATTCACTTATCAAGATTCTGATGTCACACCTTGATTCGAAATTGTACACTCACCATGAGAGCTATACGTTCCCAAAAAGAAAAATTTCACTTAAATGCGCCGGTCATTGTGATTTTTATGTGGTTCGCAGCTCTAACCGACGATAGTTGTTATTTGATAACTATCAGTCTGCTCATTTTCAGATAATAATGAAATAGCATTATCAACCATTGGCACCGACCCGTTGATGTTTCAAGGTAACGATTAATTTGATAAAACTATCTCACTCAATCATTTCTGATTTTTATATGAATTTATCTACTCTTCAAAGTCATAAATTATAAATTCTAACTAAATATCAATTAATATGATGCAATTCCTCTCCGCTTATTATTGTCAAATGTGATGAAATACTTTAAGTTGGAACGGTCAATGGTTGAGAGTTCGAGTGAATCGCGTATGATTACTGAGTTGATTCGAGACAGTTAATATCGATTATAAGGAAGCTAATAGGACTTTTAACTAGCAAATAATTGACGACCTTCGATATGAAGGGAATCGACTGTATCTCTGAACTAATCACTTTCTGGAGAAACACTTGTCCCGCCCTTTATCTTTATGACCAAAGATAATGACTGAACCGTAATTTTTCTGTAATAGCTCACAGTTACACTTGAAGGAATTATTTTATTTCAGAGTGATAGATGTCCGATTCTTCTGCATCGTGCCACATCAGCTAGAGAATGAACATCTTCCTTCTCCACAATAATTGCAATTTGTAATTTTCTAATCATTTTTCTGCACTAATTCATCAATTGAAGGAATTATTTCAACTTAAAGTTATATGGGACTCTTTCGCACTGCAAATTCGTTGAAAAAACACTAAAAAATACTTTTACGATTACTAAATATGAAGATCAAGCTCAGCATAGATTGATATCACAATATTATTCTATTGAAAATCTGTTAAAAATGTCGAAAACCATTCAATTAGTGCGTAAAAAATCACCAAAAAAGGCCTTCAATTATAATGGAAATAAATTCGGACTCAACTGTAGTGAATAATGTTTCAAGTGAACTTACCTCGCGAACGAAACTCGCTATACTGAATCAAAAATCCCACACTCAATGATTCCCAAGCTTTGATGTAATTGTTTGCCGCTCAATACATACTTCACATTGTGTGGTTGTATATCGTGAATGTTGCATGTGTTTGTTTTGTACGATGAATAATACGAATCCCTGACTATGATGACACTCGGTGATACACCGCACCAGCCATACAGACAATTTTACTCGATGACTCGCATTACACGTGCCGCATACACTTGCAATGAAAACACACAACGAAAAAGAGAATTTGAATGAATGAAAAACAAAATCATCGCAATAGAATCACAATAATGTTGCGCGTAAATATTATTATTATTTTATCAACACCGCCAAGGCTGAATGAAGTAGAACTTAAAGAGTTATCTTGAAGAAGTATCTTTATATACACACACATAGTACCGTAGCATTTCGTAAGTATTGCATTTTACGTCCGATTGCAATTAATTACACTATTCTCAATCAATTTCAACAGAAGTTTTATCTTTAGTGCATAATTGTTTGGTTGAAGATCATCAAAGAAAAAAATAAAATCTTATCAATGACTCATTGACAATGAGTTTGTCTCAAAAGCATGACGGTGTAATTTGATGTAGCCGCTTAACATTATTCATTTGCGTCGTGTTTCTCGGTATTTTGTCTACTGCGTCGTCGTCATGATAGAGGGGACATTAAAAGTCCAAAACGTTATTCTACTGTCAACCATCACAATACATCCTATAAATTTGATTGTCTAGTTTTTATCGTAAGCTGAATGCATTCACTACTGTACAAAACACTGATTGTTTATGAATAGATTGAGTTTGCTCTAAATATTGAATAAATATGCATTGCGCTCTCGAGTATATCAACATTAAATTCATTGCAAAAAATCGACTCTTTTTTCCATTGCAAATAAAATTATCACTTCAAACGAACATCGTTCTAAATAAAGATTTTAGCTCGAGTCTTGGAAGCTCATTCATTCTACAACACCAATAATAATACAGCGCACTAATTTGTTTGCACACAATTCATTTTAATTGATATCATTTGTTGGGAATGTTTTGCGTTCGAAAGCACTTCAATCATCGTTGTCCCTCTTATAACTGATGACATTGCACAATTAAATTGCTCGTTGAATCAAATAAAAGATACTTCACTGGTGCGTATTGTAGTTATAAACGCATAAAATAAATGTTCATTGTTTAATATGGAGAGCAAGACAAGTAGCCAAGCACGGATGTGTGCCACAACACGATCATAAATCAATTGGAAACATAAAAAATGAACGATTGCGTGATTTTTGAATCACCAACATATTTCAAACATTTGTACAGAGAAAATTGAAACTATAGTTCAAAGTAAAGAAAACACTTCAACAACTGAACTTACCACGCCAACGGTACTCGCTGTACTGAATTTAAAATTTCACACGCAATGATTATAAGTTTAAAGGTCGCTATCTTTTGTTGAACACATACTTCCCTTTGTTTGTGTGTGTGTGTCCTGAAAACCGTGTGAATGTGTTCATTGTGTATCCCACATGCTCGTTTATATGTTCTCAACTACAGGCAAAATATAAACTATCAGCGACGAGACACTGTGGCATAAAATGTTCTTTTAATGATACGCTTGAAACCGCTCGCGCCGCATACAAACGCAATCTCAACACTGTTAGCCTACACGTAACTATTTGATTTTTTTTCTTTATAATCGTAAGCCACAGTGGCTTAGCCACATCGGTGTTTCAGTACTACTGAACTACTGAATCAGTAGCAAATTTTTGTTTCGTTTCGGTGCATAATGTGTTTTTACTGTTTTTCATCATTTATGAATTCCATTCAAGTTATTTAATTGAAAGAAAAAAAAAATATCTCCGGCTAACCATAATATGTGTTTTCCAGGTGTTTCCTGTGATTCGTGTGCTACGTATAGCGATTTTTCTTCTCAGTATCCCTTACAAATTAGTTGATAAACAATATTTGGCCTGCAATTTTTCATATCCTCGGAATATTCAAAATAAATTGAAATAGAAAATTCCACATTGAAACTGTTGAAACAATCGTTTTCCTCTTCATTTGAACACATCAAATAACGCCTTTATTAAATACCTTTTCACTCATTTTATATACAGAGTTCATAATTTGCAATACTGATGAATCGACTAATGATTTATAAAGTGCTTGAGTTGCCCATCTGAAGGAAATTAATAACGGGATGCAAACATAAAATGGTAATGTTCTAATTTTAGATCTTTGTGCATGTATAAGTATGGAAGGCGTATAAGTATCTCGTTTCACATTCGATTGCAATTAATTGGACTATGCTAAACCTAAATTGTTTAAACTACATTGGTAATGTATACGCATTTCCATTAATATCTGTGTAGTCAAACTCATTTTACCAAACTTTAAGGAAAACCTGACAGCAATTCCGCGGTGATTATGAGTTTAATATGCATGAACATCTTGAAGAAGCAACGCGATCAAGTGGTCTTTTTGTGCCAAAGCATTCTATTTTTCCATTTTTCCTACCAAATTCAATGACCTTTTCACTTGATGTAGCAACACCTGTATTGAAAATTCATTTGTTTGTCTCCATTGATACAAAACAATGAAGGGTATGTTTCATCTAAATTGCTTTGACATTTCTTCGTAACAGATATTAATGGAAATGACTATACAATTGTTCAACTGCTTGATGAACATTCTTGAAATTGCATGTGAAATTGGATGCTTCATTAACTGGATTTGTTGTTTCTGTTTGTTGAGTAACTTCGAACGAAGTTTACACGAGTCCAGCATCCTTGGCCATGCTGTAAAATGCTGATTTCTTATTTGCCAACAATTCTTTGGGTGAATCACATTCGGCGATCTGACCCTTATCCAACACGATGATTTTGTCGGCTTCAATTATTGTATTCAGACGATGTGCAATCGTCAAAATTGTACAGTCATTGAA